GATGGTGGAGGAGAGCTGTCAGAATGTAGTGTGGATGGGGGGGGAGGAGCTTCCTGATCCCATAAGGCAATCGGATATTTTCCAGATTAACAATCTCTAGTGATTAATATACCTGTAACAACTCAATATCCACTAATATTCTGGGCATTTAGGAATACATCCAGATGTTTTTAAAGCAATTAACTGAGCTCGCTCGAACCTGCTCCTGGGGAGGAGTCTATTCCACATTGTCACAGCTCTAACCGTGGAGAATCCTTTCCGTATGCAAAGGTTAAACCACTCCTTCTTACCCTGATGCCCCCATCGCTCTGGAACACGGCAAATCTGGACTCATCAGACCCCTTTTCCATCGCTGAAAACTACAATCTTTATGCTCTCTAGCACATTGAAGCCTTTTTTTTTCCGGGGTCGTCTCACTGCTCTAAAGGATTGGGATTAAACAGCTGTGTAGCCTTAAAGTAACACTAAACTCCGGAGTGAAATCTTAAAAATACATTCCAGTCCCTGAACTCTGAACAACAATGTCTCTGATTTGTGTGTCACTCGGCTGGAGATCCTCCAATCATCTCTGACACTGTCCTTCTTTCTGGAGGGGGGCTACGTCTGTTCCCTATGGTCCCTGTGTGTCTTGTAGAGTAGTCACCGCTCCAAGCTCCGCCCCCCCGGTATGGACTACAGTCTCAGGTTTAGTTTACTGATTTGTATTGAGATTGTAGAAACGCTTCGAGAGTGCCAGAGACTTTTGTATATTATATTATGTATACGTTAACAGTTCAGTATGGACACACCGTTGTTATTGAATGTAACATTTTCTTTCTTTACTTTTAATGATCAGTTATAACAGAAAATCAAATAAATGTCATTTATATCTCTTCATTCTTTCAGATACAACTTGTAAGACAATAAGAGGATACGACAAGAAGCGACTGGCAACGTACAGTATAGAAAAACAATCTACGCTGCAGTTCATGTATGCTCCACAAGGCGGTGGTCTTGCTGATTGTTGGTGAAACGCACACTCGGGAAGTGATGTAATGTGAAGGCAGGAAGTGATGTCACATATAAATAGGAGGATTGAGGTGAGAGGTGAGTTGGGAGGAAGAAAAGAGGGGATATTGCTGGAACTGGCAGCAGAGGAGGTAAAATATTATTTTATATTTACACCCGGTAACCCCTCCCCCCGTCATGTCCTTCATCCATAGTCACTGTGATGTCTTTTATCCATTATACCATTACACACAAAAAAGATACCATTACACACAAAAAAAAGAGCCATTTAGCCGACTGTCCACCCAGAGCCGCCATTTATAGACCCGATACATCCTAAATATAGAGCCATTTATCCAACTGTCCATCCAGAGACGCCATTTATAGACCGGATACATCCTAAATATAGAGCCATTTATCCAACTGTCCATCCAGAGCCGCCATTTATAGACCGGATACATCCTAAATATAGAGCCATTTATCCAACTGTCCATCCAGAGCCGCCATTTATAGACCGGATACATCCTAAATATAGAGCCATTTATCCAACTGTCCATCCAGAGCCGCCATTTATAGGTGATATTTCTCAATGAAGCCCAACTAGAGCCAATGTGCTTTACCTTTAGATGAATATTGGATGGGTTAGAACCTGCATGATTTCCCATTTTGGGCTGATTTGACCTGACATTCTCTTCTGCGCGACACCGGTCACCTAAACATAAACCAAAAGTGAATGAAAAGCTCTCCAACTGGTACATATGGTATAAGAAGCCGTCTGAGGTGTTAGAATTATGGAGGAACTCCATACAGACCAGTCCAGATACTTCTCAGCTTTTTCATTCTTCTACAGAGAGGAGTACGTTGTGAAGAATGGACAAAGAACAAGGTCACATGACTGAGAGTATATTAAGCCTCACGCTGGAGATCATCTACCTGCTGACCGGAGAGGTGAGGAGGATTCTGGGAGGTCACATGACATCACTCTGATCTCTGTAATTAAAACATAGACCTGACCGGAGAGGTGAGGACCATTGTGGGAATCCCGTACTGAAAATTGCTCCTGTCTCTTTCCATATACAGGATTATAAAGTAGTGAAGAAAGTATCTGGTGAGACATTTACACCCAACAGCAGTTATTACAAGACATCACCCATCACAGAGCCTCCACCTCACCGCCTGAAAACAGAGGTGAACAGAGCCAAGAAGGTTCTAGAAGTCACCCAGAAGATCATTGATCTGCTGACAGGAGAGGTGAGCGGTGCCGGGAATTCTGGGACATGATCCAGGAACAGACAAGGGGTGTGTCTGGGTGGTGACTGTATCATTGTGTGTGTCAGGTTCCTATAAGGTGTCAGGATGTCTCTGTCTATCTCTCCATGGAGGAGTGGGAGTATCTAGAAGGACACCGGGATCTCTACAAGGACGTGGTGATGGAGAATGAGCCGCCCCTCACATCACCGGGTAAGAGGAGAGAGCAGTACGGAGGCTCCGCCTAGATCCCCCATCATCTGATACACACATAGAAACAATGTATTCAGTCAGTGTGTGTGTTTCCTACAGATGGATCCAGTAAGAGGAACCCACCAGAGAGATGTCCCCGTCCTCTGTATTCCCGGGATCCCACCCAGGAACATCTCACCATCCCCCACCATGATCAGGTAGATGGTACTGAACATCTAAAAAACAGTCTAAGCTATGACATGACTTTCATCTTTGTAATCTCTTGCTCCTTTTTAAAAATCTATTCCATTATCTTTGGGGGTATTAGGGTGAAGAACTGAAAGACAATAAAGTTGAAGATAGAGAGGAAGAAGAAGAGACGTTGGTGGGTGGAGCTCAGCAGTCTATGGAGGAGGGGGAAATGATTATAAAAAGTATACAATCGGAATCCTCTCTACATACGGACACAAGTAAGTTATAAACACTAAATATAAAGACAAATCACATTTTTGTTACTTGTATCATTTTAAAGTATAAATATTCATTGTTACATGGTTCAAATATAACAAATGTTAATTCATTGCGCCTACAAATAACATCATGTGACCAACAAATGAGGAGGAGATACTGTACACCATATGAAGGTCCGTCTCCATTCCTCAATATAATGTCGTGACCAACAAATGAGGAGGAGATACTGTACACCATATGAAGGTCAATCTCCGTTCCCCAATATAATGTCATGTGACCAACAAATGAGGAGCAGATACTGTACACCATATGAAGGTCCATCTCCGTTCCCCAATATAACGTCATGTGACCAACAAATGAGGAGGAGATACTGTACACCATATGAAGGTCCATCTCCTTTCCTCAATATAACGTCATGTGACCAACAAATGAGGAGGAGATACTGTACACCATATGAAGGTCCATCTCCATTCCTCAATATAACGTCATGTGACCAACAAATGAGGAGGAGATACTGGACACCATATGAAGGTCCATCTCCATTCCTCAATATAACGTCATGTGACCAACACATGAGGAGGAGATACTGGACGCCATATGAACTCACAGTTACCATGTCCTCAGTATACAATGTTCCTCAGTGTGGTTTGGGTGTGTTGGGTCCTTTATCTGGCTCTTATGATTGTCCTCAGTTTTATTCCAGAGCTCTGAGAAATTGTTGAGAGCTCTACCACCATATATGACTCCTGAATGTAACACACGAGGAATACTCATAACGTTTATCTAAAAATTGTTTTCCAACAGATGGACACTATGTCTGGAACATCTCAGAGGGACGTCTTTTACTATCACCAGATTCTATTGGCATCACACAACATTCTCCGGGAGAGAATCCTATTACTCATAATATACATCACCGACCTTCCCATTCGAAGAGTTCAATGAATCCCACTAATCCCAAGAAATCTTCAGTAAGCCATGGAGCATCACATTCATTCTCGTGTTTGGTGTGCGGGAAATCTTTCAAGGAAAACAAAAACCTTCTAAGACATCAGAAAATTCACACAGGCGAGCGTCCTTTTTCATGTTTAGAATGCGGGAAATGTTTTATTCAAAAGACACACCTTATTACACACCAGAGAAGTCACACAGGTGAACGTCCCTATTCATGTTCAGTGTGTGGGAAAGGTTTCTTTGAGAAAACAGTACTTCGTAGGCACCAAACTATTCACACTGGTGATCATCCATTTGCATGTTCATATTGCGGTAAATGCTTCAAACTAAAAGGAAATCTTATCAAACACCAGAGAATCCACACTGGCGAGCGTCCTTATCCATGTTCAGAGTGTGGGAAAGGTTTCTCTGCGAAACAAGACTTGGTTAGACATGAGAGGATTCACACTGGTGAACGTCCTTTTTCCTGTTCAGTGTGTGGGAAAAGTTTCACTACAAATGAACACCTTCGTAGACACCAGAGAAGTCACACAGGTGAGCGTCCCTATTTATGTTCGGACTGTGGGAAATGTTTCACTGAGATAGGAAGCCTGCATAAACACCAGAGAATTCACGCGGGTGACCGGCCTCAGTCATGTGTAGTTCGTGGGAAATGTTTTATTCAGAAAGGTGATCTTCAGAAAACTCTCGAAGGTGATGTCAATGAAGACAGAGACCTTAGACATGGGAAAAGTCTTGAAATTAAGCGCCCCTATTCATGTTTAGAGTGCGAGAAAAGTTTCATTCGGAGAGGGCACCTTCTTGTACACCAGAGAATTCACACAGGCGAGCGTCCTTTTTCATGTTCAGAGTGCGGGAAACGTTTCTTTACTAAAATACATCTTCGGACACACCAGAGAATTCACACAGGTGAGCGTCCTTTTTCATGTTCGGAGTGCGGGAAAAGTTTCAGTGTCAAAGGAAGCCTTCTTAGACACCAGATTATTCACACAAGCTAGCATGCCTCTTTCCATAGTCAGACTGTGGGAAATGTTCTATGGGCAAAGGTACGGTGACATAACAGGCGGGGCTGTTCAGTCTATACAACAACTGCATGACTATGGATATTAGGGTTTAAAGGGGTTCATCCTGGAAAGTGACATTTCAGTAGGTGGTGGAATCCAATGAGTTAATTCTCCTGCTGCTGCTTCTTCTATTTCTAAGAGACGCCAGTGGTGAAATCTGCCGGCCACAGTTCCTGGACTCGATTTCTTCTTTTGTATTCTCCATAGTTCAAAATGAAAATCCAGCAAGAGGCGTGGCAGCCTCTCATCACATTTAGACAAAGGAACTCTAGAAATAGAAACATACACATGCCGACCACTTCCTGGCTGAGTTGCTGTTGTTCCCAGTTGCTTCCAGTTTGTTATAATCCCAGTAACAGGTGACCGCGGCGGAATATTTAGTAGCCGGGAAATGTCACGGACGGACTCATTGCGCAGGTGACAACCTATCACGGCACCACGCTTGTAGTCACCGAGCTCCTGAGAGCGACCCGTTCTCTCACCAATGTCTGTAGAAGCGTCTGCATGCCGAGGTGCCTCGTCCTATACACCGGGGGCCATGGAGGGGATTGGAACACCGGAATCCCATGATATGGAGGGGGAGGGGCCTAATACTTTTGGTAATATAGTGTATCAGGGAACCCAATGAGCCTATGGTTATGAGGGGGGAAGAAAGACTCAAGTGGTGTGCCGAGGTTTAATAGTTCTGGGGCCTGCAGGCGTTAAACTATAATAAGATCCTTGACTCGGATGGACAACAAGCAACATGACACGCCAAATGTACCTGTCCATGGACAAATATGGTGGTCCGGGGGCAACACACTGCCAATAGTGACCGCAGGTGGGCAACAAAAGGTATAAAACACACTGGAAATCCTGACAACGCGAGGGAAATCGTTCCAATATGGCGGCAACAATGAAGCGATGGAAATACAAAGACAGATACCGGAACATCCAACTAAGGATTCTTCTCCACAAGAGGACCAGAGAACTATCGAATGTTTCTATTGGCTGCTGCACCTCATTGCTCGTTGAGTTACTGAAAGTTCACTTTTTATTGGTCCGGATAATAATTTAATAAGTTTGATGTATTTTTAACTTTCAGTTGTGAAAGATTTTATTTCAATTAAATATAATTTTATCGTATGTTCATTTTCTTACTGTAAACTAAACACGAATTCTCTGCACTTCACAGCGAGCCGGCCCGAGTTGCGGGGTTTTTCTTTCCCCCCTACAAACTATAAAACTCTTCGATGATGGGTGACCGGAATGAGCTCGGGGCATAGAGAGTCAGGGCAGCCATCAGAAATTTTGGGGCCCCTTACACGTCTTTAAGCTGGGCCCCC